GTTACAAGCAAACAAATACTTTTCTCTAGTGACAAGGGCCGTCTAGTTACATGTACAAGTTTTTTTATTAGTTTTCCAAAAAAATTGAGACGCTACAAGCCTACAAACTATACATAAGTGATTGAAATTGTACCACCGAGACAATATTCTACAAACTATAGCATATCAATATTATTTATTTATTATAGGTTGACGTGCAAATGCGCCTATTATCATATATAGTCAATTTATGATATTCTTAAAGAGAAATTAGTACTTTTGGTCGTGTGTGTATAAAATATTTTTTATACATGCATATAGAGATAATGTCTTCTTTGCATTTACATAATATTTTATACATGCATATAGAGATAATGTCTTCTTTGCATTTACATTCATGTACTTGGTTGTGGATACTGATACGCTATTACGCTCGATCGACTTATTAAAAAACTGTTGGAAATAAATGATAAAAACTAAACACTCTTGTAGTAGTCCTTTTAAAAGTTGAAAAGAAATATTCATATGATAATTCTTTACGAGGGCAAGTAATCCTCTTTTCGTATATAGGAATTCAAATTCAATAAACATGCTCATACTATGTGGAATTTAGTCCGGTTTAGGTAATTTGATTTGATTTGGTATATATATTGTATGTTAGCTAGAGAGGTCATATAGACGAATGCTCAAGAGAGGATTGAACAAAACACATATAATATAAATAATTATAAGCATTAGTGGTAGTGAAAAAGAGAGAAATTAATAAAGAAGTATTTAAAAATTGGGGCCAAAGGAATCATAACCTCTCATGCCACTAAACCACGAGCTAATTGATGTTGTTTCTTTTGTGGGCCTTTTTCACTATTACTCTCCACTATTCGGTTCTTTTTATTTATTTATTAGACAAAATCTATAAAATATACTCACCAATAGTGTGAAATATTATAATGCACAAATCACACTATAGGTGATAAGATTTGCACTATATTATTAGTTGAAATGAAAATAATTTCTAAGAATAATTATTTCCCATTAGAAACTATTGTTCTTAGAGAAATATAGTCTCTTGTGCAATGGACTGGTAGCTGGACACTGGAGTACTACCATATGTACTTTCTTGTGAACATTAGTTATATATCTACCAAAATATCCTTGGTATTTATTGTTATACAAAGGTGGAAATCAAATATTGAAGCGAATATTTTGTTTACAAAATTCTACATATAAACTTAGTTGGAGATGGCGATGTAATGATGAAATGGATGGAGTGTGTGACTTGGAACATGATATAAAGGCTACATTTCTGGCATATAATATGATACAAAACTAATGAAAATCACATAAAATTGTAAAAAGAAGTGAGCAACATTATGGTTACACCATAAAGTTTGTTATTGAAAATTTGTAAAGTAACATCTCTCTGTTCATTCCTCCACGCCTCTCTGCCTTGACAGTGAACCTTGGATCAAACAATTTCAAGTTTTACAAACAAAAAGAAATCCATTTCATATGTGATGCATATTATGATTAAATTGGGTCCCATTTACTTTGACCATACACCATTACACCACCTCCATGCTAAAGAATTATAGTACTCTAGCCTTTGGTTTGCAATAATTCCTCCCACAATTCCAAATTTAATGTGATTATAGACTATAATTTTTAGTATACTTGTTTCACTAGTGTGGTCACTCTATCACTAACCATATTAAAAGTGATTTAATATAGTGTTTGATTTAAAAATATTATACTATTCCATATTTTTGTTTTGAATCCTCTTTGAATTGTAATATGTTAAAATTCCAAAATTATGGGATAAAACAAAGATATACGGACTAAATCAGACTTATGAAAACACTAAATTTCTTTAACTACAATAATTTTCTTTGAAAACATCATTCCACAAACTCATAATATTGATCATTTAACCAAAACAAAAACATGTTTGAAAAAAAACGTTATTCGATAAAGATGTTTACAAATAACAAATGATATAAAACTATAAGCATCAATGATAATTAAAAAAAAAAGCAGCTTTTTCTTTTCTTTCAAAAAGTCCTTTTTCTTCCCCTTCCTCTGCTTTAGCATCGCCTCACAAAAAGCAAAGTCTTTATCATCTAAAATTCTTCACTTACTTACTCCATTCAAACTCACTCCAAAAACCTCCCTCCAATGACCAATTCACTAATCCGGATCCGGACTCGGATCCAAATCTCCATCTTCTTCCTCCTCCTCCTTACACATCTCTCTCTATCCGACCAAACTTCACTCAAAACCGACTCATTATCACTCCTCTCTTTCAAATCAATGATCCAAGATGATCCAAACAACATTCTCTCAAACTGGTCCCCTCGAAAATCTCCTTGTCAATTCTCCGGTGTAACTTGTCTCGCCGGAAGAGTCACCGAGATTAATCTCTCCGGCAGTGGTCTCTCCGGAATTGTCTCCTTCAACACATTCACAAATCTTGATTCTCTCTCTGTTCTTAAACTCTCTGAAAATTTCTTTGTCTTAAACTCAACCTCTCTTCTTCTTCTTCCTAAAACCCTAACCCACCTCGAACTCTCTTCCTCCGGTTTAATCGGAATCCTCCCTGAGTATTTCTTCTCCAAATATTCAAATCTCATCTCCATCACTCTCTCTTACAATAACTTCACCGGAAAGTTACCGGATGATCTTTTCTTGGAAAGCAAGAAACTACAAACCCTAGATCTTTCTTACAACAACATAACCGGTTTAATCTCCGGTTTAACCATTCCTCTCTCTTCTTGCGTCTCCTTGTCGTATCTAGACTTCTCCGGGAACAGTATCTCCGGCTATATACCCGATTCGCTTACCAACTGCACAAACCTCAAAAGCTTGAATCTTTCTTACAACAACTTCGATGGGCAGATTCCGAAATCGTTCGGCGAACTGAATACCTTACGAAGTTTGGATTTTTCGCATAATCGACTCACCGGTTGGATCCCATCGGAGATCGGAGATACTTGCCGGACGTTACAAAACCTCCGGATTTCTTACAACAACGTTACCGGAGTGATCCCTGATTCGTTGTCTTCTTGCTCTTGGCTACAGATTCTTGATCTTTCCAACAACAACATCTCTGGTCCGTTCCCCGACAAGATCCTCAAGAACTTCGGTTCACTTCAAATCTTGCTCCTAAGCAACAATCTAATATCCGGTGAGTTTCCGTCTTCACTCTCTGCTTGTAAGAGCCTAAAAATCGCTGATTTCAGCTCGAATCGATTCTCCGGCGTGATTCCACCGGATTTATGTCCCGGAGCAGCTTCTTTAGAAGAGTTAAGACTCCCGGATAACCTAGTCACCGGAGAGATTCCTCCGGCGATATCTCAATGTACAGAGCTTCGTACTATTGATCTTAGTCTCAATTATCTCAACGGTACAATACCACCGGAGATTGGAAATCTTCGAAAACTCGAGCAATTCATAGCTTGGTACAACAATCTCGCCGGAAAAATCCCACCGGAGATCGGAAAACTACAAAAACTCAAAGATTTGATACTCAACAACAATCAACTCACCGGAGAAATCCCACAAGAGTTCTTCAACTGTAGTAACATTGAATGGATCTCTTTCACAAGCAACCGATTAACTGGTCAAGTCCCTCGAGATTTCGGTATCCTTTCTCGGTTAGCTGTTCTTCAGCTCGGAAACAACAACTTCACCGGAGAAATACCTTCAGAGCTAGGCAAATGCACAACACTAGTGTGGCTTGATCTCAACACAAACCACTTAACCGGTGAAATCCCACCCCGGTTAGGTCGTCAACCCGGTTCAAAAGCTCTTTCCGGTTTACTCTCCGGCAACACAATGGCTTTTGTAAGAAACGTTGGAAACTCATGTAAAGGTGTTGGAGGTTTGGTCGAATTCGCAGGAATCAGACCAGAGAGGCTTCTTCAGATTCCATCTCTTAAAAGCTGTGATTTCACAAGAATGTATTCAGGTCCGATTCTGAGTCTTTTCACGAGGTATCAGACCATTGAGTATCTTGATCTTTCTTATAATCAGCTTCGAGGCAAGATTCCTGATGAAATCGGTGAAATGATCGCTCTTCAAGTTCTTGAGCTTTCGCATAATCAACTCTCCGGCGAGATTCCGTTCACCATCGGTCAGCTTAAGAATCTTGGAGTCTTCGATGCGTCGGATAATCGGTTGCAGGGTCAAATCCCTGAATCTTTCTCGAATTTGTCTTTCTTGGTGCAGATTGATTTGTCGAATAACGAGTTAACCGGTCCTATTCCTCAGAGAGGTCAGCTTAGTACGCTTCCGGCGAGTCAGTACGCGGATAATCCGGGACTTTGCGGTGTTCCGTTGCCCGAATGTAAGAACGGGAACAATCAGCTTCCTGCCGGACCGGAGGAAGGGAAACGTGCTAAACACGGAAGGACGGCTGCTTCTTGGGCGAATAGCATTGTTTTGGGAGTGTTGATCTCCGCTGCTTCGGTTTGTATTTTGATCGTTTGGGCGATTGCGGTTCGTGCGAGGAAACGAGACGCAGAAGATGCGAAGATGCTTCACAGTTTACAAGCGGTTAATTCCGCCACAACGTGGAAGATCGAGAAGGAGAAAGAGCCTTTGAGTATTAACGTAGCGACGTTTCAGCGGCAGTTGAGGAAGCTTAAATTTTCGCAGCTTATCGAGGCGACAAACGGATTCTCGGCCGCGAGTATGATCGGACACGGCGGATTTGGGGAGGTTTTCAAAGCGACGCTTAAAGACGGATCTTCCGTGGCCATCAAGAAACTGATTAGGCTAAGCTGTCAAGGAGATAGAGAGTTTATGGCAGAAATGGAAACTCTAGGGAAGATCAAACACCGAAACCTCGTACCGCTCTTGGGATATTGTAAAATCGGGGAAGAGAGATTGCTCGTCTACGAGTTCATGCAATACGGAAGCCTCGAGGAAGTGCTTCACGGACCGAGAACAGGCGAAAAACGGAGGATCTTAAACTGGGAAGAGCGGAAAAAGATTGCGAAAGGAGCCGCGAAAGGGCTTTGCTTCTTGCACCATAACTGCATCCCTCATATAATCCATCGCGATATGAAATCGAGCAACGTCCTTCTCGATCACGAAATGGAAGCTAGAGTGTCCGATTTCGGAATGGCGAGGCTGATCAGCGCGTTAGACACGCATTTGAGCGTAAGTACCTTGGCAGGCACGCCAGGTTACGTGCCACCGGAGTATTACCAGAGTTTTAGGTGTACATCGAAAGGCGACGTGTACTCGATCGGAGTCGTGATGCTCGAGATATTGAGCGGGAAGAGACCAACTGATAAAGATGAGTTTGGTGATACAAATCTTGTTGGTTGGTCTAAGATGAAAGCAAGAGAAGGGAAACATATGGAAGTGATTGATGAAGACCTTTTGATTCATAAAGAAGGTTCGGATACTCCGAATGAAAAAGAAAATTTTGGAGGAGTGATTGTGAAAGAAATGTTGAGATATTTGGAGGTAGCGTTACGGTGCGTTGATGATTTTCCATCGAAGCGACCTAATATGTTACAAGTTGTTGCTTCGTTAAGAGAGCTTCGTGGAAGTGAAAATAGCAGTCAAAGTTACAGTAACAGCTCGTAAATGATCTGTTTTCTTTTCTACTTTTAGGTTTTTGAATTTGTCTTCTTTTTATTTCATGTGAGAAATGTATGTGTGGATCAATGATAAATTTTTTATTCTGTATCAAATTTTTAGTTTTGTAAATTAAGCTCTCATTATATTATTAAATAACTCCATGAACTATTATTAAATTAATCAGAGTTGGTATCTTATTCTAGTTGATCTTTATTTATAATAAAGCTTGATGCGTCAAACGTGA